TTTTGTCGGGACGCAGGCGGCCGTCTGTGGATGTGGCGCCTCCCACCCTGGCCTGGACCGCGCCTCCATTTTCCCTGATTTTTTTTAAAATATATTTTATTGATTTTTTTACAGAGAGGAAGGGAGAGAGAGAGAGTTAGAAACATTGATGAGAGGGAAACATCGATCAGCTGCCTCCTGCACGCCCCCTATTGGGGGGATGTGCCCGAAACCCAGGTACATGCCCGTGACCAGAATCGAACCCGGGACCCTTCAGTCCGCAGGCCGATGCTCTACCCACTGAGCCAAACAGGTCAGGGCTCTAAATCTGCTTTTATTAGTGACGACGATATTGCTAAGTATGTCAATGTAGTAAAGGTTTCCTTAAGTTTTTGAATATGTAACTTCATTTACTTGTGATTCATAATTACCCCCCCCCCCAAACTGCTGTAAAAATCAGCAAAAAATACCTTGGCAATTTTAGCAGAGTTCCTAGGATATTGGTTGGCACTCAAAGGGTTAAACCACACTGCCCACCCCCGGGGGGTTGGGGGGGGCTCTGGGTGCAGGAGCCCCTAGCCCAGGTTAGTCCTCCTTGTGGATAAAGAAAGGCGTCCTCTGTGAAAAGTGACCCCTCAGGGTCCTAAGAAGGTCGTAAGTTCCTAACCAGGTCGGTCCTGGCAGGTAGTCACGCCCCAGGGCTATTCTGTAGTGAAAAAGCTTATCCTTGTCTTAGGGCCCCAGTGGTTCTCAACCTGTGGGTCGCGACCCCTTCAGCGGTCAAAGGACCCTTTCACAGGGGTCGCCTAAGACCATCCTGCAGATCAGACATTTACATGACGATTCATCACCATAGCAACATGACAGTGATGAAGTAGCAACGAAAATAATGTTATGGTGGGGTCACCACATGAGGAACTGTATTTAAAGGGCCGGTAGGTTGAGAACCACTGGTCTTAGGCAGACTCTGTCCATTGATTCCGTGTTTTTACCCAGGTTAGCACCCCTTTGAAATGCTTTTGTTGTTAAATATTGTGTCACCCCTGATCCCTGTCTTGCTTCCTCCTCCCGTCCCCTCTTTGCGTGTAATCTTCGCATGTTCCTTCCTTAATTCTGAATGCCTAGCCCAGCGGTCGGCAAACTCTTTTGTCAACAGAGCCAAATATCAACAGCACAACAATTGAAATTTCGTTTGAGAGCCAAATTTTTTAAACTTAAACTCTATAGGTAGGTACATTGTTATTCACTTAATCAGGGTCCTCCTAAGCTGGCCTTTGCTAAAAACGTCCTCAATCTGATGGAGGTACGTTCGCTGTGTCGACCCCTTCCAACTCCCACCCACACTCGTCTTGTAGACTTGTTTCGTCCGTCTCCTTTCGTTCATCCTCTCTCTATGTCCAAACCATCTCGACCTACCTTTCTCAATCATCGACACTACATCTTCTTTCACTCCACAACGTTCCCTAAAATTAACTTAATAAACTTACATAAAGTTTTAAGTCACCTTCGCACTGTACGTGCACGCCCACACGTGGTATTTTGTGGAAGAGCCACACTCAAGGGGCCAAAGAGCCGCGGTTTGCCGACCACTGGCCTAAAAGAAGCCGCAAGCTCATTGCTGGAAAGCCCTTTGTCAGTCTGCGGAGATCTTGCTTCTAGGTGTGTTCTCTATTTGGCTTCCATGAACTAGAAAAGTTCTCCAGGAGGGCTGCCCCCCTTACATCCCCACCCTTTCCCTAGAGCATTGATGGTGAACCTATGACACGCGTGTCGGAGGTGACACACGAACTCATTTTTTTGGTTGATTTTTCTTTGTTAAATGGCATTTAAATATATAAAATAAATATCAAAAATATAAGTCTTTGTTTTACTATGGTTGCAAATATCAAAAAATTTCTATATGTGACACGGCACCAGAGTTAAGTTGGGGTTTTTCAAAATGCTGACACGCCGAGCTCAAAAGGTTCGCCATCACTGACCTAGAGACACCCGGGCCCAGAACGCTTAACCACATTTCCTTCCACTGGCAGGTGAACTCTGTACAGTCTGAAGAGAAAGTGTATGTTGTCCAAGTGAACAGAGAGGGAGGGGGAGCCCAGCCCGAGCAAACAGCATCAGCAAACACCTTTTCCTGGGTGTTGGGGGCCTCCGTTGGTTGTGGGTGCTGATGCCCCAAGTTAGGGGCTGGAGGGGTGGGCAGGACTGGGAGCTGAAGCTGTCCTGGGCCTGAGGGTTTGCCTGTTGGGTTTCAGGGAGCCTCTGGGAGTGGGACCCTGTGGCTTTGGAAATAACTGAGTGCACGGGGGAGTGTTAGGGCAGGGGACATGGCGAAGGCGCTCTGCATTTCCATTGCTTCTTATTTCTTGATTGCTTTTAGGGAGAGAGAGTTAGTCATTTGTTGTTCCACTTACTTATGTATTTGTTGGTTGATTCTTGTTTGTGCCTTGACTGGGGATCAAGCCTGCAACCTTGGTGTATGCTCTAAGCAGCTGATATACCTGGCCAGGCTTTTTTCTTCTTTTGAGAGAGAGAGGGGGAGACATCAATTTGTTGTTGCCCTTATTTATGTGTTGTTGTTTTCTTAAAGGTATTTTTATTGATTTCAGAGAGGAAGGGAGAGGGAGAAAGAGAGATGGAAACATCAATGATGAGAGAGAATCATTGATTGCCTGCCTCCTGCACGCGCCCACACTAGGGATTGAGCCTGCCTCCAACGTCCCCTACTGGGCACTGAGCCTGCAACTGAGCCCGAATGGGAATCAAACTATGACCTCCTGGTTCATAGGCTAATGCTCAACCACTGAGCCATGCCGGCCTGGCTATGTATGCATTTCTTTGTTGATTCTTGTGTGTACTCTGACCCGGATTGAACTGGCCACCTTGCTATAATGGGATAACGCACTAACCAGCTGAACGACCAGCCAAGACTCCATTTCTAACGGGCTGCCAAGAAGGAAGTCGCAGAAACAATAGAGAAGGAATTCTGGTCACAGCTCTGTTGAGTTGAAGATGCTGTAGGGAAGCGATGGCGAACTTTGTGAGCTCGGCGTGCCAGCATTTTGAAAAACCCTAACTTAACTCTGGTGCCGTGTCACATATAGAAATGTTTTGATATTTGCAACCATAGTAAAACAAAGACTTATATTTTTGATATTTATTTTATATATTTAAATGCCATTTAACAAAGAAAAATCAACCAAAAAAATGAGTTCGCGTGTCACCTCTGAGACGCGTGTCACAGGTTCGCCATCAGTGCTCTAGGGGGTCTGACTAGATGTGGAGGAGGGAATGGCAGTGTCCGGGAGCCTGGGGCAGCACTTGAAACCCCACCCCATCGTCAGGGAAAGGGGAAATTGGAAATGTAAAGAGACGGAGCCGCCTCCCCAGTCCTTCAGGGTCCCAGCCAGACCAGCCCTATCCCAGGTCCAGCATGCGATTCGGAAGGAGAATCTCATGTGTGTGTGTAATTGATATGAATGTGCTGTGCCCATACTGGGTGTCAGCTCAGGGTTCAGCTCATCTGATCCTCACAGCAGCACCGTGAGGCAGAACCTGCTGTTCTCCCAGAAGTCTACAGATGAAACTGAGGCCCAGGGTGTTAACATCTGCTGGGGTCCTTCCTACTGAGGCAGTGGTAGAGCTGGGACTTTGAATGCAGACCGTCTGGCCCTGGCCGGTGTGGCTCGGTGAGTTGAGTGTCATCCTGTGCACCGTGCAGTTGTCAGTTTGATTCCTGGTCAAGCCACACGCCCAGGTTGTTGGCCCGATCCCTGGTAGGAGCTGTGCAGGAGGCAGCCACTCGGTGTTCCATTCTCACCATGATGTTTCTCTCCCTCTCCCTTCCTCTCCAAGAATCAATAAACTTTTCTTTAAAATAAAAAAAAAAGAATTGGGGGCAAGCAGTTTGGCTGCAGAGTGGGTGCTCCTAGACCTGGCCCGTGGGTGCCTCCAGACAAGGAAGGAGAGGATCAGAGGGTGGAGATGGTTAGGCAGTAGGCGATTGCTCAGGGACGGGCTAGAGCAGTGGTTCTCAACCTTCCTCATGCCGCGACCCTGTAACACAGTTCCTCATGTTGTGGTGACCCCCAATTTCATTGTTACAAATGGAACATGATTAAAGCATAGTGATTAATCACAAAAACAATATGTGGTTATATATGTGTTTTCCGATGGTCTTAGGCGACCCCTGTGAAAGCGTCGTTCGACCCCCAAAGGGGTTGCGACCCCCAGGTTGCGAACCGCTGGGCTAGAGTGTCACAACAAGACAGCATTATCGCGAGCTGTGGGCAGCCTTCTTGGGTGTGGTGTGCCTGTGAGGGTGCACAGGTGAGAGGGCAAGGTGAGGATGGGCCGGGAGAAGAGGAGAGGCTGAGGGTGTTGGTCACTCAGCTGGGAGGAGCAGGAGCATGGTGGCAAGGGAGGGGCTTAAACAGAATGAAAACCTCCCCTGAGAAGTTGGGGAGGAGCCACTTAGGATGGTGTGGACTTGGAGGCGTCCCGGATCATTGATTGGAATGAATTGAGAAGTTTGTCTGCAGAGATGGGCCCTAGCCAACGTGGCTCAGTGAATAGAACATCGGCCTGGGGATCAGAGGGCCCTGGGTTCAATTCTGGTCAAGGGCACGTACCTTGGTTTCAGGCTCCTCCCCGGACCGGGCCCTGGTTGGGGCATGTGCAGGAGGCAACCAATCGAAGTGTTTCTCTCCCATGGATGTTTCTCTCCGTCTTTCCCTCTCTCTAAAAGATTGATGGAAAAATAACCTCGGATGAGGTTTAACAGCAGTTGAGTGTTGACCTAAGAACCAGGTCACTGTTCGATCCCCTGTCAGAGCACGATCCCCGATCCCCGGTGTGGGGCATGCGGGAGGCAGCGGATCAATGATTCTCTCTCATCGCTGATGTTTCTCTCTCTCTCTCTCTCTCCCTCTCGCTTCCTCTCTGAAATAAAAGTTATATATTTTTTTAAAAGTTTGTCTGCAGAGAAGAGAATGGTGAGAGGGGTCAGAAGGGGGAGCGAGAGCCAGACCTTGCAGTTGTAAGGGATGGAGATGGATTGGATGTCATTGTCCTTGCAGTTTCATACCACCCAGGACATAGACACCAGCAGGGGGAGGCAGAGAGAAGCATCCGGTAGCACGGGGCAGATGGGGCAGGGCACCCAGGTGGGAGGGGCTGAGAGGTGGCTCCTGGTGGAGAATGACAAGAAAGAGGGCAGGGGCCGTGGGCCGGGCAGGGGTGTGCTGGGGGGGGCAAGCTGAGAGCCAGGGTGACAATGTGCTCAGTATCATGGCTGCAGAGCTCTTGGATTCTGGCTCCCCAGTCACCAGGCCTTGGTGAATTTTTACTCAAGCTTTTTATTTTTTTAAAAAAAGTATGTTTTAATTATAGTTGGCGTACACTCTTAGATTCAGGTGTACACATAGTAATCAGACCTTTAGGTACCTTGTGCTGTTCTTGATAAGTCTGGTACCTGGCACCATTCACAGTTAATATGATATTAGTGACTGTATTCCCCAGGCTGTACTTTACAATCCATGGGATTATTTCTATAATAGGCAGATTGTACTTCTTCATCCCCTTGACCTTTTCACCCACCCCTCCACCTATCTGGCCACCATCAGTTTATCTCTGTATCTATGAGTTTGTTTCTATTTTGTTTGTGTTTAGATTCTGCATGTAAGTGAAATTATACAGTTTTCAGTTTTCTGACTTAGTTTACTTAGCATAATACACTCTAGGTCCATCCATGCTGCCATAAATGACGAAATTTCATTCTTTTTCATAGCCAAGTAATATTCTATTTGTAGATATATATGTGCCACCATTTTTTAATCCACTCATTTATTGATGGACACTTGGGTTGCTTCCATATCTTGGTTATTGTAAATAATACTGCAGTTAACCTAAGGGTGGATACATTCTTTCAAATTAGTGTTTCAGGTTTCTTGGGATAAATTTCCCAAAGGGAATCATTGGGTCATAAGACGGCTCCATTTTAAATTTCTTGAGGTAACTCCACACTGCTGTCCACAGTGGCTGTACCCACCTGCATGCTCCCCAACAGGGCGCTAGGGTTCCTGTTGGAACGATGCTTTAACCAGGTGAGCCACACCAGCCAGGGCCCTGCATATTCTTCAGTTGGATTTTCTTTTTTATGTTGAGCTGTATGAGTTCTTTACATACTAATATATAGGATATTAACCCCTTATCAGATATATCTTTTACAGATGTCTTCTCCCATTCATAAGTTGCCTTTTTGTTTTGTTGATGGTTTTCTTTCAGCACAAAAGCTTTATAGTTTAATATACTTCCATTTGTTTATTTTTGCTTCTGTTTCCCTTGCCCTAGGACACAATATCTAAAAATGATTGGTAGGCCCTAGCTGGTTTGGTTTAGTGGATAGAGCGTCAGCCTGTGGACTGAAGGGTCCCGGGTTCAATTCTGGTCACATGCCTGGGTTTCGGGCTCGATCCCCAGTGGGGGACGTGCAGGAGGCAGCCAGTTGATGATTCTCTCTCATCATTGATGTTTCCATCTCTCCCTCTCCCTCTCCCTTCCTCTCTGAAATCAATAAAAGTATATATTTAAAAAAACATAGGACTCAGACCATCTACTCTCACAGGATGGCGGGAAACAACAAGATCATGATTCACAGGGAAGCATTATAGATTCGATCCCTGGTTGGGGCATTTATGGAGGGCAACTGATGAAGTTTCTCTCATCCATTTCTGTGTGTGTGTGTGTGTGTGTGTGTGTGTGTGTGTGCGCGCGTCTCTTTTTCTCTAAGATCAATGAATATATCCTTTAGTGAGGATTTTTAAAAATTAAATAAATAAAAATTATTGGTAAGACCAGTGTCAAAAAGTTTTTTCCTTTTTTTTTTCTGATAGGACCTGGCTGGATGGCTCAGTTGGTTGGAGCATTATTCCATACACCAAATGGTTGCAGATTCGATCCCTGGTTGGGGCATTTATGGAGGGCAACTGATGAAGTTTCTCTCATCCATTTCTGTGTGTGTGTGTGTGTGTGTGTGTGCGCGCGTCTCTTTTTCTCTAAGATCAATGAATATATCCTTTAGTGAGGATTTTTAAAAATTAAATAAATAAAAATTATTGGTAAGACCAGTGTCAAAAAGTTTTTTCCTTTTTTTTTTTCATTTAAGTCTTCAATCCAGTGTGAGTTTATTTTTGCATATGGAGTTGGAAAGTGGCCTAGTTTCATTTTTCTTCATCTATCTGTTTAGTTTTTCCCATCACCATTTCTTGAAGAGACTGTCTTAACCTTTTGTCATAGATTGACCATATAAGCGAGGTTTTATTTCTGGACTGTCTATTCTGTTATTCTGGCCCAGGCAGTGGGGCAGCATTTTGGTACCTCCAGAATGTCTTGAGGGAGGGTGCATGTGGGACGACACCCCTCTTTCATAGTGTCCTTTGCTGTCCTGGGGATTCTCATATCCTCCTTGTCACCATCCCCCACACACATATTTAGAAACTGGCAGAGGTTTCCTTGTAATATTTTAAATTGTGCAAAAACATTTTTTGAAACCAGGTCATGTTTCACTGTTGTTTGAGAACTGTACAGGTTTTCCTTTCCTTCTTTTTTTTTTTCCCAAACCACTAGATGTTTCATTGGAATATTTTGACTCAGATATATATATTTTTAATTGATTTCAGAGTTGAACGGAGATAATCATTGATCAGCTGTCTCCTGCACGCCCCCTACTGGGGATCGAGCTCACAACCCAGGCGTATGCCCTCACCGGGAATCAAACCGTGACCTCCTGGTCTGTAGGTAGACGCTTAACCACAGAGCCACACCGACTAGGCTCATTGCAATCATTAAAAATCATGCAATTGCTTTGACACCCTGGCCTTTACCTCTCCCATTCATTCTCTTGAGATGACAGAAACGAACCTGACCTGTTTGCTTGTATGTTGAGGGAAAACTATCTGTGAGCTCACAGCTCAGACACCACAGCACGTGCCCGAGCATTTCCTTTAGCCTGGGGGCACTCAGGACCATCCCCGGCCCAGACCTGACCAGGCTGGACCCGCTTCCCCACTGGAAAGCCGGCGTGGCTTTCCTCAGAGTCCTGCCTTCCTGCTCCTCATACCCAAAGGCAATGCCCTTCAGCTGGAACATTCCTCTCCTTTTTGGGGGTGGGGTGGGCTCGGGGGTGTGGGGATGCTGAGGAGGGGCTGACTCCCTGATTGTGCCTCCACCACTAGCACTGCCCCCTGAGGACGGCTGCCCCCTCGGAGACGGCTCCTTCAGGTCTGAGGAGGAAATGGAAGTGTGTGCTCAGCCAGTCCCATCCCAGGTGAGTTAGAGACCTTGGCTATGTTTGCCTCTCTGTCTCCTCAGCTGTAAAGTGGGTCCAGGAATATAGCACTCGCCTCCCCAGGAGCCATGATGCTGTCTTGGGTGAGACCCCCGGGCTCCCTGCAGATACAGCTCCTTCCCTGTGTGGGTGAGCCAGGGGTTCCTGGGGCCTCCTGTACCTGGTGCCCTGGGCCCGGTCTCTCCCTCATGTCCAGAGTGGGATGCTGCCTTCATGGTCACGTCAGGCAGCTCACACCTGAGAAGTTCAGGGACTCACTCAGGAATCCAGCTGCTCAGGTGTGAAGCTGAGATGCCACATCAGGCCTGCCACCCAGGGTCAGGGTGCATGACCCCTCCCTCACCTGCCAGCCTTCCTTGAACGCCTGCTCTGTCAGTGTTTTCTGTAGAGGACCAGGTGGTGGGAACTGCCTTAGGCTCTGCTCCCTTCCCCATGCTCTTTTTGTACATGGCCTTTGAAAAAAATCCATTTTTAGCTGTATTAGGTCTACTGCAGCTGCTGTAACAAAATAGCACGGACTGTGTGGCTCAGGCAACGTTCATTTTCTCATGGTTCTGAAACCTGACAGTCTGAGACCAAGGGCCAGCACAGTTGGTTGCCCGACGACCCTCTTCCTCACTTGCTAATTCTCTGTGTCCTCAGTGATGGAGAAAGAAGTCTCTGGTGGTCTCCTTTTGAGGGCACCAATCCCACTGCATTAGGGCTCTGCCCATAGAACCCCCATTAACATTATTTTCATAAAGGCCCTCTCCCCAAATGCAATCACATGGTGGGGTAGGACTTCAACATGTCAGTTTGGGGGAGAACAGTTTACCTCATGGCATTAACCTTCTGAAAGCACACACAGTCTTGGCCTGTCTGCTGGGCTGTGTTTTGCTCATCCACGATTTTGAACATCCTCTTTGAGAGCCTTTAAATCTGTGATTTTGTGGAAAAGTAGGGAGTGGGGTTCCCGCTGTTTCCTGGGACAGAAAATCAGAATCCGTGGAGTGACCAGCCACAGACAGGCCCTCAGAAGTGAAGACGCTGTGGACTGCACTGGTGTCTGATCAGAGCACTGCCCAGAGGCGGGAACCCTGTGGATGCTCTGGATACCACACCACCCACACCACCTCCCTCCCTGCGCTGTCCTGCCCTCCTCAACCTTCCCATCGGGGAGGCAGGGCCCCTTGGTAACACGGGCGATGTTTCAGCTACCCGTGAGCTTCAAGGATGTGCTGGTGAGCTTCACACATGAGGAGTGGGGACAGCTGGACCTGGTCCAGAGGACACTGTACCACGACGTGACTCTGGAAACATGTGACCACCTCGTCTCTCTGGGTAAGTTGGGCTCTACCCATCGCATGGGCTTTCTGCCCCTAGGACTCCGAGCTCTGACTCCAGGGAGGTGCTTGTGCTGGGTGATCCCCAGAGTGGGTCACTGTGTGTGTGTGTGCGCGCACGCGCGTTTGCTTGCAAATAAAACCTACACTTTAGTAAGGTCCACAGATAACTGTCATTCTTTACAGTAAAGAGAAGCTCTAATATAAAGACCTGATAATCCTTTCTCTTAGGAGGAAACATATTTCTGGACTGTCTATTCAGTTATTCTGCTAGAACACCTTATATTTTGTAAAATTACAGAATATATATATATTTCTGTTTGTTTGTTTGTTTTTCCTTCATCTTAAATTGTGCCTTTAAGAGCTAACCCTATACTCAGGACAGAAGTGAGTCCCTTTTAGATGCAGATCCTGGGCATTGCTGTTCAGTCAGCCTCCACTGCATGTTTGTGACTTAGTTCCTAGGAATGGCTCCTGGGCCCTCCTAGCCCATCCCTGTCTGACCCCACGGGAGAGGGCTGGGCCTGGGGACACAGTCTCTTTCTCTGGAAGCAGAGCATCAAGTGCTGTGTTTTTCCCTATTGACCAGGACTTCTGCTCCCCACTGTGGATGTGATCTCCTGCCTGGAGCGCGGTGCTGGTCCATGGAGGGCGGAGCAGGAACCGCCTCCCGGAGGTGAGAGCATTTAGTTAACTCGGGCAGAGGAGGAGGGAGGCCGTTTGCAGGAGCTTCCTCGGCGTTCTCTGCTGCCTCCTCATGTCCAGCAAGACAACCATGCCGTCACCCACGGGTCCCGCCCAGCGAGAACACTCGCTACTGTCTGCACATTTCTCAGGCCGGGGTTTGTTTCTGTTCCCATTTCCCTCTCTTCTTTACCCTTCGGCCACCTTGTCTTGTTCCCAGGCCCTCCTGACCTCTCGTTTTCCCCAGCCCCTCATCATAGCTTCCACCTGAGGAAGCAGTCCTCAGGTCTCCTTTCAGTTTCTCTCTCATCAGTTATCTTTCTGTCCCTCTCTTCCTCTCCCTTCCTCTCTCTGAAATCAATAAAAACACATTTGAGCCCTAGACAGTTTGGCTCAGTGGATAGTGCGTCAGCCTGCGGACTGAAGGGTCTTAGGTTCAGTTCCGGTCAAGGGCATGTACCTTGTTTGCAGACTCCTCCCTGGCCTGGGCCCTGTTCTGGACTCGTGCAGAAGGCAACCAATCAATGCGTTTCTCTTATATCGATGTTTCTGTCTTTCCCTCTCTCTTCCACTTGCTCTAAAAAAATCAATAGAAAAATATCGCCAAAACTGGTTTAGCTTGGTGGATAGAGCATTGGCCTGCGGACTGAAGGGTCCCAGGTTCGATTCCGATCAAGGGCATATACCTTGGTTGCGGGCACATCCCCAGTAGAAGGTGTGCAGGAGGCAGCTGATTGATGTTTCTCTCTCATCGATGTTTCTAACTCTCTATCCCTCTCCCTTCCTCTCTGTAAAAAATCAATAAAATACATTTTAAAAAGAAATACTTACATTCTCATGCTTATATGTATATCTTTATTGATTTCAGAGAGGAAGGGAGAAGGAGACAGAGAGAGATAGAAACATCAATGATATCAGAGAATCATTGATTGGCTGCCTCCTGCACGCCCCCCACTGGGGATTGAGGCTGCAACCCAGGCATATGCCCTTGACCAGAATCGAAGCCGGGACCCTTCAGTCCGCGGACCAACTCTCTATCCACTGAGCCACACAAGCTAGGGCTTGTGCTTATTCTTACTCCCTACTCCCTCTTTGGTATCAGCTCTCCTCAATCAACTCTTCATTACCTTTGCTTGGTTTTTGTGCTTCTTCACTGATTTCCTATTTGCTGGTCCATCTCACTCTTTTACATCCTGCCTGGAATTATAGTTCAAGGACTCTAAACAAACCCAGAGACACCTCTCATACTTGGTGTTTTCCTTCATTCTCCTTCCCATCTGAGGCTTTTGCAGTAATTCAGGCATTTTGGATTTCTTTCAGAGTGGAAGACTTCACTTGAAAAGAAAGAGTCCGGTTCTGAAGAGGATATTGGTGTGGAAGAGCCATCCTTCCACGTGGAAATGAAACACTGTATAGAGGGCCCCTGGCCTGTGTCAGTAGGAAAAATACAGGATTGGGGGGACCAGCCAGAGGAGCACCAGGAGGAATCTTTGAGTCCGATTGTACCTACCTCGGGGCGCAGTGTGTCTGCGAAAGTGGAACATCGTGAGCATGACCTTGGCGGAAGTTCTCTGAGGGAAAGCCTTCTACCTCTGACATTACCTGCAAGAACACATTTGCACAAACTTGACTCACAGTTCCAAGAGTCGAAACAGAATTCAGTTTTCATTAATCATCAGAAAGGTGGTGCCCATCTGCAGCCCTGTGAAAATCTTGAAAGTGCCAGGGCCTTCTCTCAGAGCATTCACTTGAATAAACTTGCAAGTGTTGAAACGGGAAATAATAAGCCGTATGATTATACTGTTGACAGTGATTCTTTCCACTGTGGCACATCTGTGCGTTTCCATAGTAGAAGTTTTTCGGTAGAGAACAGAGATGATTGTAAGGACAATGGAAATGTTAAGCGCAGCATGTCCCTGAAAGAAAACAAGCCAGTGCATTTTGGGAAAAGGCAGGACACATGTGACAAACGCATTGTACAAACTGAAATAATTGTCGGTGATCCTGGAGGTGAGGAGGATTATGGTGCCTTCTGTGCGGCCTCATCTGTTCACGACGGTGACATCATCCAGACCAGAAAGAAGCCACGCGCATGTAATCTACGTGGAAAATCCCACAGCTGTTGCTCTGAGCTTGCGCACCAGAGGACACACACTGGAGAGAAGCCATATACATGCAGTCATTGTGGGAAAGCTTTCAAATGGAGGTATCTCCTCGTAGCCCATGAGAGAACGCACACTGGAGAGAAGCCTTATCAGTGTAACCTGTGTGTGAAATCCTTTAGGGGTCCGTCCGCTCTTATAAAACACAGGAGAACCCACACAGGCGAGAAGCACCATAATTGTAATGACTGTGAAAAGTTCGTTAACTGGCAGCGTCACCTTGCTAGGCATCAGAGAATTCATAGTGGAGGGAAACCGTACTTGTGTACTCATTGTGGAAACTCCTTCAGCCGTAGCTCTGACTTTGTTGCACATAAAAGGATTCACAGTGGAGAGAAACCGTACGAGTGTAACCACTGTGGGAAATCTTTCTGGGAGCGCAAACAGCTTCGTGCGCATCTGCGAACTCATGCTGGAGAGAAGAAATTTTATGAATGCAATCACTGTGGGAAAGTTTTCAAATGGAGGTCTCACCTCATTCTGCATCAGAGAACACACACTGGAGAAAAGCCTTATGAGTGTATTGACTGCGGGAAAGGCTTCAGTGATGGGTCATCTCTTAGAAAACATGAGAGAACACACACTGGTGAGAAACCCTACCACTGCGACCAGTGTGGGAAATCTTTTCGGCAGCAGTCACAGCTTGTCGTGCACAAGCGAACCCATACGGGAGAGAAACCTTATGAGTGCAGTCATTGTGGGAAAGCTTTCTGCCAGAGATCTGGCCTCATTGTGCATCAGAGAACACACACTGGAGAGAAGCCCTATAAGTGTAAGATTTGTGTGAAAGCCTTCAGCCAGAGATACCTCCTCATTGTGCATCAGAGGACACACACTGGAGAGAAACCCTATCAGTGTACCATGTGTGTGAAAGCCTTCAGCGGTCGTTTAGCTCTTAAAAAACATGAGAAGACACACATGGTGGAGAAACCCCATGAATGAATGTAATCATTGTGAAAAAGTTCTTTATGGGGCAGTCACCTTACTAGGCACCAGTGAATTCACACTGGAGCGAAACCATATTTATGTGCTCATAGGGGAAAGTCCTTCTGCTGTAACTATCTTTCTTGCACATAAAAGGATTCACACTGGAGAGAAGCCCTATGAATGTAACCACTGTGGGGAAACTTTTTAGCAGTGATCACAACTTTGTGTATCTGCAAATTCATTCCAGAGGGAAGAAACCTTATTAACACAGTCATTGTACAAAAGGTTTCAAATAGAGATGCACCAGAGAACACACTGGCATGAAATCCTATAAATGTAATCACGATGAAAAGGCCTTTTCATGCTAGCGAGAAACCCTATAAGTGTAATGAATGTGAGAAGGCTTTCAATTATAAATCCCTTACTCAATATGAGAAAACTCGGGGGAGAGGAACCCTATGAGTAATTAAGATGGGAGAGCTCAATGCCAGAACTTCTTTTCTCAACATCAGACAAACATATGCACCAGAATTGCTTGGTGTGTACATTGGAACTGCAGATTACTAATCTTACCCTGATTTACGAAGTCAGAATCTATCAATAAAACCCAAGAGCCTGTCATTTCCCAAACCAGCACAAATTACCTGTATGTGCACTAAAATGTGTGTACGTATACATTTAGGTGAGAAGGTATGAACATGACAACTGATGGAAAGCTTTCAAAGCTTTTAGCAGGAAATAGGAAATTCAGAATGGAACTGTGTCCATCACACTATCATTTTATTGCAAACAACCACCCGAACTTAATCAGATGTTATCCCTATAATACATTCGTAGAAATGATAAGGTATTGGAAGGTTTGTTCCCCCCAAAATAAGGCTGAAGTGTATATCAATAATGGTAAAGTGGAGAGGCCATTACTGCAGATTTGAGCAAAGTGAAAGCAGGTGGGAGAACATCACCTGGAGATGCAGAGTGGAAAAGACTAAAGCCAGGACCATGAAGAGAGGGCTATGGCACTGGAGGTCTCAGCCCCTCGACAGAGTTTCAGACTAACAGTTGGGGCAGAAAAGCAGGGTTCACTGATGGTCTGTTGGTGAGATTCCCAAGTTTCCTCCCTCTTCTTGTTTTGCATTATCTGCCTGTGGCTGAGCAAAATAAAATAGGGAGTAAATGAGGTATCCCCCCCAAAAAAAATTTAGTCTGGAGATTCGGAGATTGGTGAATTATGCTCCAGAACAAGGGCTGCCTTTTCTTGGCATCTCAGTTACCTTCATCCTAATACCTGGTTCTGGCCCTACTCCCTTCAAAGCAAATCTTGCCATTAAACAAGCTTCCCTCCCCATCTATGGAGGCTCCCATGTTTTTCCAGATAGTCTCTTCAATATAGATGGAAGGGAGGGAGCAAGAGATGTGAAAGCTTTCAATGTGAAAGGAAAAACGGATTAAAAAAAGAACAGATACTTGGGGAACCTAACATTTAAAATGGAGATTGAGCAAAGAAATAATTGCAAATGAAAATAAGCCTAAGGTAACTCGTAGAGAGTTATGAGGACAAAAATACACTATAATTGGCTAAAAAAAAAAAAAGTTGGAGAAGAAAAGGAAACTCCTGCAGAGCTGAAAGGAAATCTTAAGATCATGCCAAATACTGCCCAGGATTAGTGGGATCCATGTAGCATGAGAAATTGAGAATACTGTAGTCAAGAAAACATTGTAGAAACTTCTGAAGACTATAAATTTAAAACTAAGGGAATTTTTTTAAAAAGGAGTGTTCTAACGGTGAGGGAGAAGGGGGTGTGTATCGGAACTTTAGGGTAAACAAATTGTTAAACAAATTTTATAAGAGACAGTTGTACTCCAGCTGTGAGCCAGAATTTAGAAAGGAGCCTTCATTTGACTGTGATGTTAACGTTTCATCCTAGAAAAGGCAGAGGACTCATGAGATTGGAATAAAAGAGGGAGAAATATACTCAGATTGTTTTACTTGGCCCTTTACTAAACACTTTTTTTTATTCATATTTTTATATATTTTTCTTCTTCTTAAAGAAGACCCTTTGACATTTCATATAATACTGGTTTGGTGGTGATGAATCCCTTTAGCTCTTTCTTGTCTGGGAAGTTCTCTATATATCCTTCCATTCTAAATGATAGCATTGTTAGGAAGAGTAATCTTGATTGTAGGTCTAAACACTATTTTTATAACTAGTATAAACAGTAGGTGCTGGTTTTGCATTTTACAAAGAAACTCTGAGGTGTAATGGCGAATTTGGGGGTGGGGTGTAGGGGAGTTTCTCTGTATCCTCATCTTAGGAAATTAGCTTTTAAATAGAATAGGTTAGGTTACTTAGGAGGCCAAAATTAGAACTTGAAACAGTGATAGGACAAAAATTGGAATCAACTCAGCTTTCAGCCTCCTACATTAAAAGGTAGATAGAACAGGTCTTGTTTGCGAAATAAATTCGAGACCTACTGATCTACCAACAGCAATTATGCACTTTCCATTGTCATATTATAAGGTAGCAATGGTAAGTGAATAGATTAGAAAGGGTGGGTAAAGACAGGGGAAACCCAGGAGAATCTACTGTACTCATTGACAGGAAGTGATCAGAAATTGGGGACATTTAAGAAAGGGGGAGAGGACCTTTCCCGTAATGTAGTATTGAGTGGGTCCAGGAAGTTTTCTGGTAGCTAAACCTCCCTGGATAGGGACCCACATGCCCATGCAGTTGCTCTGCTTCAGAAGTAGTTTATTGGATGTGTACGAGTGGTTACATATCATTTGAACCTGCAGGAAGTCACTATTAAGCATACACTTTTCCAAATAAAAGGCAATTTCATTATACCAGAAACTAATGGCATTTTATATGCCAAGTCTCACTAACTTTCCCATCCCACATAGTAAGGGTGATACTTACATTCTGAGTATTCTGAATCACTAAGCCCATGTTAGTTTATACCAAGATTCTGTGCTTTTTTCCACATATTCTCTTTCCGTTTTGTTGATGGAAGCCAAAGCTTATGTTAATAACTACTCAGGAGTTATAAAGTGGTAGATTTTGATGTCTTTTATTTTAACTACCCAGTGTCAGGAATTGTGGCTACAGTAAAAAAAAATGTTTAAAAAACAAATTGGAATCAAAGAGAATCACAGAACTAAGTAAAATCTTAATTCCTTATCAAAGAAGGAAGGCAGTAAAGTGTATAAGCCATGGAAGATCAGAATTACAGGCATAGCCTTATTTGGGAACTGGGATAAAAACAGTTAAAAGTAGTTGGTGGAATGTGTGGCTGTTGGGTAGGGTGGAGCCGGACACAGTTGCTTTCCACTTTAAGCCTGTCTTTCCTTCCCTGGCACACTTCTTATTCGAGTAACCTCATATATGTACCTATAGGTGAGCAAAACAATGTACATGAGGACAATTGCAAGTGATTTGTGGGATTATGTACACTTTCCCTTTTTCTGATTCACTATTGTTGTAAAAGTAAATTGGCAATTTAAACAGCAGGCGTGAGAGGAAAATACACCAGACCCTCCTGTTTGCCTCATTACAGTAGGACAGAAAGTCTCCTTGGCTTCTTAGAAGTCACTGCAATTAAAGATGGGTTGATGTTATTTGTTTGTTGGTTTGTTTGTTTTTAATATATTTTAATTGATTTTTCACAGAGAGGAAAGGAGAGGGATAGAGAGTTAGAAACATCGATCAGCTGCCTCCTGCACATCCCCCACTGGGAATGTGCCCGCAACCAAGGTACATGCCTTTGACCGGAATCAAACCCAGGACCCTTCAGTCCGCAGGCCGACGCTCTATCCACTGAGCCAAACCGGTCAGGGCTGGTTTGTTTTTTATTGATTTCAGAAAGGAAGGGAGAAACAGAAACATGATGAGAGTGCATCACTGATCAGCTTCCTCCTGCACTCCCCTCACTAGGGATGGAGTCCGCAACCCAGGCATGTGCCCCCACCTGGAATTGAATCGTGACCTCCTGGTACATAGATTGATGCTCAACCATTGAGCCACACTGGATGGGCTCTGTTTTTAAGACTTGATACTGTGGAAGCCTTATCAGGAAGTCACTGTGGGCCTGGAGATGGGGTTATCCTGGGACAACTAGGCAGGATCCATCTGAAGAGGAAAGACAGTGTGTGGCCCTAACCAGTGTGGCTCAGTGTTAGAGCCTTGGCCTGTACACCCGAGGGTCTTGGGTTTGATTCTTGGTAGAGGGCACGTACCTGGGTTACAGGTTCGATCACCAGCCCCAGTCAGGACCAGTGTGGGCGGCAAGCGATAGATATTTCTCTCCCACTCTCAATGGAAAAAAATAATCTCAAGTGAGGATTAATAAAGAAGACGTGTGGGAATCGGCATAGCCACAATTACTCAATGTATTTCCCCAAGGTCCAGGCAGTTGATGGTACCTTTCATAACATCGTTTAGGTAACAGCCCTTGTGATTCATAGGGGACCACTTGGTGATGGGCGGTCTGTACAGGGCTGGTGGGGACTTTGCGTCTTGGGACAGTTGGCCCTGCTGCCGCAACCAACACAGTTCCGCAGCTTTCAGAAGGTGGAGCCTGGGAGGAAGGACCCACCCAACAGATTCAGCAAAGTGAATGTTTGACATATAAATACACACACACTCACACACACACACACACATACAGTGGGGCCTTGACTTACGAGTTTAATTCATTCCGTGATGGAGCCCATAACTCAAATCACTCGTTTGTCAAATCACTGTGACGCTCGCTGCGCCAACTAGCGGTGGGGTATCTGAAGCTGGTTCGTAACAGGAATTTTTTTGAGCTTGCAACTCAAAAAATTGGCAGAGATGCCGAAACCGGTTTGGCTCAGTGGATAGAGCGTCGGCCTGCGGACTGAAGGGTCCCAGGTTCGATTCCGGTCAAGGGCATGTACCTGGGTTGCGGGCACATCCCCAGTAGGAGATGTGCAGGAGGCGGCTGATCGATGTTTCTCTCTCATCGATGTTTCTAACTCTCTATCTCTCTCCCTTCCTCTCTGTAAAAAATCAATAAAATATATATAATAAAATAAAATGGGAACCTAAGACCTTTCCACCTGAAATGATTCTCATAATGTGCATAGGACCCACCTGGAAAAGGTGTTGGAATTGCAGGTTTCTGGGCCCATCTTCAGAGAGTCCACCTGGGCAGGCTTAGGTGGTACCTGGATATTTGCGTAGTTTGAGGACACTTTCTGTAACCTATATTTGTAAACATTTTGTATTCTCAAAATTGTATATTTATGCCCAGCCAGTGTGGCTCGGTGGTTGAGCGTTGACCTATGAATCAGGAGGTCATGGTTTGATTCCTGGTCAGGGCACATGCCCAGGTTGTGAATTCGATCCCCGGTGTTGGGCATGCAGAGGCAGCCAATAATGATTCTGTCTCATCACTGATGTTCCTGTCTCTTCCTCTCCCTTCCTCTCTGACATCAGTAAAAATATATTTTTACTGTATTACAAATAATATCGTAAAAGTACACTGTGATCT